TTCCCTCTAGTCTTTCACTGCTAAATTAGGGACAGCTAGTGCAGATAGCCCTCGTGTAGCTTTTCACGAAAATTCAAAAAAACAAACAAATAAATGTATGATTAATTATCTATATAGTGTGTGTGTTTGTAATCAGAGTTATTCAAATGCTTCTTAGGTAGAATGCAAAGTTAGCCAGCTTTATGAAGAATTACGTTTTCTTTTTTATCAATGTTGGAATATTTACTAACATTTTTAACCACAAAAAACAACTATACCTTACTTTTTCTAGGTGGAAAGATTTCTTTTGCTGACTTCTTGGATGTCATGCATATGCACTCAAGAAGAGAAGACATTCCCGAGGAGATTTTGAAGGCCTTCAGGGCCATTGATAAAGGAAGGAGTGGTAAGATTTCTTCTCGAGAATTACGACGTATCCTTACCAGCTGGGGAGAAAAACTGCCCTCTAAAGAAGGTATGTTGGGCTGATATTGCTAGAAGCCATCAGTATATTTGATTACATTTCAGATTATTTTTTCTCTAAAAATCTTACATATATTATAAGAGATGTGAGATAGAACAATGTGCCATTACTATTCAATCAAACCAATTACTCAACTTCAAAAAAGAAGAAAACGCAACTACCATCCCATCTATATCCAACCCCCTGAATCTATATATTATCCATCAAGAATTAAAAGAATTTAAACTAACAGTACACTTTACATCATAATAAGTTAACAATTCTATTTTCCTCTAATCAAGCCTGACTGTGTGTTCCATACGCGTACTTATTTCCTATAATGTTCAAATCGTAAGTATTTGTCAATGTTAACAAAAAATTATTGCATCCATACAACTTATTTGTAGAAATTTTTCCATTAAGTAGAAAAGAGACTTAATATCTTGTACATTTGGGAACCGTGGTGTTTGTCCAAGCATTCGGCTGTCTTCTGTTGAAAAGCTACGAACGCAGGCAAAGCTCAACTATTTTTTGAAATGATGGGAGAATAATGTTGATGGATGCCAAATTTTATTTGAAAACAGGATATTCTACACTAGATTGTTAGGAATTAATCACACTATCATTCACATTTCAAAATGTGACGTAACTTAAAGAATAAAAATGTAGATTTATCATATGTTATTATTGAGCATTTCTTAGCATGACTGAACTGTACAACAGTTACTTTTCTAGGTGGGCAGTATAAGTAGCTCAGAGCTTTGACTCTGAGTGAAATCAAGTATGCAAGTCTTTCAAATAATTTATATTTATAGATTACCTTAAACTTTTCCAGTCACTGGGGATGGGTACTTTTGCTTGTGTAGAAATAGTTTTGACCTTACACTGATGTATGTTTTAGGTATTCACATAGAGATGACAAAGAATCCTGCTAAAAAAATTGCTTCCTACAGAAACTTTGTAGTTCTACACTAAAGTAAAACAAGTGCAAGTTAAACCTTTATTATTGATAATATTTATTTTCAATCTAGTATAATACTGTTGTTTCTGTGCACCTTTTTTTTTAGCAGATTAATATCTCCTTGATAATAAGAGAAGACCAGATTTTAACAGGGTACTGAAGATTACTTTTCACCAATGTCATATATTGAACATCTTGCTATTTAATGCAAAATTTTCACGGATAAATCAGTATAGCATAAAAGTGTTGTTGAATTCTTCATACTTATTTTCAATATTCACACTTAATAAAATATTTTTTCCTATCCATAAAAAGTTTTCAGAAGTGCATGTGTTTTTTTTTTACTTCTCAGTCTTGAAACTCATTTTATACTTTTTTCAACTAGAAAGATTAAGATTATAAAAAAACAAGTATCTAACAAGAACAAGCATTACAATGAAAAGAGTTATTTGGTCTACAAATATGAGTAAATAATTTAAACGAAATAGAAATTAATTGGAGGGATGATTTCTTGGTTTCTGGAACAATAAGATAAGCATATTTTATAACTTAGCAGATAAAATAATAGAACTGGTTCGATCCTAGATTAAAATTTCTACAGCTTCCATCAACCCTTGTAAACTTCAGTTCTATCCAAGGTAGTAGAGGTATCATGTTCAACTGAAACAGTACTTTTGTATAAATCATGGTGAGCTACAGTAGATGTATTTAGTTGTTGCACTGATGTGTGATACATTATTCTAACATGTTAAATTGTGTTTAATGAAAAGGAACTTGTGAATAGCATATGCTTGCTTCTACTTGCTGTGAAAAAACTTATTAAAACAGGATTGGGTTTCAAAACATATTTAAGTTATGTTTGTGGATGTATTCTGCAAAAAATAGTTGTCCACTTTTTCTTTTCATGCAACAAATGTTATGCAGTAAATATAATATTATTACCTAAGGAAAAGCAGCAGCAACAGCTTGATAATTAGCTATGTTCAATAACAAATGACCAATGTTATCAATTGAACCAGTACTAAATTCAGATTTAAAATAATTCTAATATTAAAGTTTTAATTTAATAAAATGTGACTTCACATATAATCACAGTAAATCTAAGAGAATGGATAAAAATGTTAATGAATTTTTTAGCTGCAGCATAGCAGCTCATAGAAGGGCTCTCTAGTTTTTTTTTTTTTTTTTTTCAAGTACAAACTTCTAGCTCGTAGCTCCATCATCTCTTGACACATTTGAGATCTAATTACAGTTTTGACTCAGGAAGTCAAACCCTTGATGTATTTGAACACAACCAAGGTCTCACACATTAATTTACTGTAATCATGCCTAAAAGAATTTCAAGTTGTGGCTAGGCTGGTAGAGATCCCGATTAGTAATAAAATTGAATCGAGTATAGGTGTGCTCTACGCTTGGTACTGCTGATGCACAAAAATATAGCTAATAAAAAGGAAAAAAAAGGTCTCGTAGACTTATTTACTCTAAT